TTTTAAAATAAGTAATGTTGGAGAAAAAGCAACCAAAGGAGTTAGCCACCTGTAGCCAATATAAAAGATATGGTTAGATTATTTTTTTAAAAAAGGTTCCTATCAACGCAAATAAAATGCTGTGTGATGCTAATAAAATTAATTCTGCACAAGCATCAGTCAGGGATGTTAAGGTGCACACTATCTTTTCTCAGGATAGGATATTTCTGTTTCTCATTAAAGGTTTAATTAGGAACCCTATTTAGTAACTGTTATATAGTTCATGAATAAAAGCAGTAGAACAACTATCTCAGCATAAACTAGCTAAATGCTGATTCACTTGGGCCATATAATATATAGTATATTAAGGAGTTTTGATTGGAAGCAAAAAGTTATTGATAGCAAGCAGAGATAAATGTAAAAAGTGTCTGGAACTTTTTAAAAATATTGAATCTTATCCTGAGATTGGGTGGCAGCTGCACAGTACCAACCACAACACAGCTGCCTTAAGAAGCTGCAAACAGGTATGTCCTCACACATCCAAACAATTGTTTTATAAATCTGAAGATGTCAGCCCTTTGAGATAAACCAGACTTGAATGCCAAAGTCATGAATACCAAAATTACTTTTATTACAGGATTAAAGCACAGAATTTTGCAACTCCAAATGTGTCTCCCTCTTCCCTCCTTACTTTTATTCTAAAGGGAATAGGAAGAGTCAAGTCAGAGATACTTTCTCAAATCCCAATCTATTTTGTGCTATTTCTCTTATATGATCATTGCCTTAATTGTGGCTCTTCCTCCTTTTCCTCAAGATTATTTTAGTACATTACTGAAGCTCTACATTGCTTTAATGTGTGCATTTCATAATTTACACTGAATTAAAGGATAATATTTTGTAATACATTTTAACTGTAGATGCACTTTCCCTACATTGATGTTTTTCACATACGTTGGGCTACAATTCCCATAATATCCAGCTAGTAAGATCTTGCACACGGAATAGTTTAACCTTTTTCTCCTCACAAATTTGAAATTTCACAGAATATTAACAAAACAAAATTAACAGTGATTCATTAATAGAAATAAATCCTTGTCACAAAAAAGTATTAGAGATCTTAACTTACCTGTTCAGTAGCTGTTGGACAGTAAAATACTAATATTATGGTTGTGCAGATGTTTATTATGAGTCCAACAATTGTAATCAGATTAGGGGCAATCCAGGCTGGTACTCTTCGCACTAACCACTCCCAATAACCTTGCATAAGTGGCTCAAGTAGGGACCGTCCAGCACTTTGATATTTGTGTTCTTCTAATCGTTTTAACTGATGCTTTGATAAAGGCGGTGTTGGCAACTGAAACAATTTGCTCAATGTGCATCCTGTCGAAGGAACGTGACCATAGCGTGCAGGGGATTCCAGATGCAATTCCCCACATCGTTTCTTCAGTGATCGATTCCCACTCATGGATTTATTCACTTTAAAGTTTATATCTGACAAAGTTTAATTGTTGTAAAGAAACATAAGATCCTGGAAGAGAAAGTATTTAGTTTAATATAAGAGGCAAAATATTGTAAAAATCTGAAGTGTTCAATTGTGAGAAGTACAATAGCTGAAAGTCAAGAATATTTGTAAATACATTAAACCAGTGTTTCCCAAACTTGACAATTTTAAGGCATGTTGACTTCAACTCCCAGAATTCCACAGCCAGCAATGCTGGCTGTGGAATTCTGGGAGTTGAAGTCAATATGCCTTAAAATTGTCAAGTTTGGGAAACACTGCATTAAACCAAGCTATAGTTGCACCAATTTTAATATTCCTTTGTTTTTTAATAAATGTAACAGTCTAGTGAATAGTGTACAGTTTGAGGCTTGTAACTGAGGAGACTGAAGAACAGTCATGGAGAGTCAAAAGGTAATCATGAGACACTTATTTCAGCCCAACCAATCTTACAAGTTTGAGTGGGAGTAAAATGAAAGGATATCCATAACTAAGCTGCCTTAAGATCCTGGAGAAAAGTTACAATATAAATCTAAATGAGCATAACAGGTGCCTTGGGTGCACTTCCAAAATATCTAAAGCATAACTTGAACACCATCGACATTGACAAAATTACCATCTGTCAATTGCAAAAAGCAGCTTTACTTAGAATTGTTTACATCCTCTGACGGTATCTTTAATATTATTCAACAATATATCTCTATCCATGGTACTTGGGCAGTACTAAATAAGTGAACAGAAATGCTAAATCCAGCCTAAATTTCTAGTTGACTGTGCAACCAACAATAAAGAATAAAAATGAAAAATAATTACATTATGGAAAGTCATCCCCAAAAGTAGTGTTATTGATTTTTACTAGTTAAGGTAAATCTTAGTACTGATTAGTTTAGTAATGAAAACACATTCAAATACATGCTTGCTATCCTTTATTTTCAATCATATATTGAGAGAATCAAGGCCCATGCTAATTATTTTAAATTTAACACTTATATTATTATATCCAACATTAAAACCTGAGTATATTTTCATAAAATTGTTCATAAAAACTAGTCAGTTCAAATAAATCTATCTGATAAATTAATATAAAAAGAATAGCAAGGAGTAATTACATTCTAATTGCATTACAGACAGACAGACTGATTCACAGTGGTAGTTTCTCAACTATGTTCTTCTCTCTTGAAGAAAATATATCTGACCCTCATATTATCTGTTTTAAGACAACAAATGAAGAGATGTTTGTTCATCCAAGACAGTATATAACTATTCTATTCTAATATCAGACTTCATTTTAAATTATTTTCAATTGTTTTTGTTGTTGAGAATGAAACTGTATTTAAATTTTCTTTTATAGCTCTTAAGGAATGCTTTTTTTAAAAAAATATTTTTACAGTGCTTTTCTAAAATACTTTGCATTCTTTTGGAAGAAAATGAAGTATTAAAACAAAAGAATGGATTAATAAGAATAATCCATAGGACAAGATTTTTTTCATAAAATTTGGACCTATGCTATTAGTATGAGAGGTAGTAGTAACAGGATAGAAGATTAAAGAGTGAGAGAGAGATTTTATAAATTCACTTTTTCCCCTGAAAAGCCTTTATCCCTTCCTCCAATCTATTTAAAGTGGTTAGTTTTATATTAATACCATTAAAAATCTTTTTGGTAAGAGGAGCCTTCAGAGAAGCATGGAATATGGGTAAAATGTCTATTGGTAAAATGTCTTACTTCTGATCGGAGTCATCACAATTTTTAGTAATTTTCACAAAGTCCTTCTGTTCATTAAATTCTTAATCCTATTTGCTTTGTTTTAATCTTTGCCCTCCACTTAAAGTGTGCTACCCACATTCAGTAACTTCTTGCTACTTTAGGGATTATATTGAAGATGCACTTCCGTCATGACAGATGCATTCCAAAAGAGGGAGGAGACTGGAGCCCCAATGTTAGGAGTATTATGGGCTGCAATCAGGAACATTTCTATATTGTAATTATAAGACTATAGGCAGATAGATAGTTCTAGATTTCCTCTATTTAACACAGGAAAGTGTATGTTATGATGCAGTTTGGCTTTTGTTTCTGGATAAAGAAAGATTTGAGCAAGAGTTGGAATTCGTTTGAACATGATTTAGCCTGAGAAATTTTATTAATTTCAACAAATATTTTTTTCTTCCAGAAGCTCCTCTTCAGAGATATGTATGGTAAGCTAAATTCAAGACAATGGAATAATCATGTAACCTACTGCATATTCCCAATTGTTTAAAGTTATCAACTTTTCCATTTAACAATTAAGTTTCACGTAAGAGTATTTAAAACAGGTCTCTACTAATATAGATTTTATTGCTTTCTATATAATCACGAAGATATAATTAATATATATTTTGCAGCAAATTAGTTAACTGATTCATTTGTGTCCGTAAATCTAAGGCGCTCAGTAAATACAACAACTAAAAGAAAATGTAACCAATGAAAAGAAGTTTTTGCAATTCCCTTAAGCGAGTTACATATAAAAACACTTCAGAAGAAAGCCTAAGGAAATCTTAAGTTACTCTTAATGTAACTTAAGTGACAAAAATACTGAGGAAAGAGTACTGTGCTTTTATAAATAAGATGTGTTTATAGAATGTACAAGATTCCAATTTTAGTTTTGCGTTAAAGGAAAGCAAATGTGGCAATTAGCACTTTGCCCGAAACACGGATGCATCTCCATTAATACCCCAGCAGTCAAAAATTTGAACACAAACTCAAAACAGATATTTCAATCTTGAAAATCCATATAAGGCTGAGGCACATTTTACTTTATGCGTGCAACTCTGTACACAAACTCTGCTTAGTGGAGGAGGAGGTTGTTTTGACTTGTCCCCGGCATTTGAAGAACGCCTGCTCCGATTACATCGCTCCCTCCACGAACTGACTTGAGTGATTGCCAGCCTGTCCAGGCATAAACGGCAGCAGCCCTCACCGAGTGGAAAAACAAGGCAGCGCAAGCGACACCCTGTCTCTTGCGCAGGAGCCTACGAGGCTCAGGAAGAGAGAAAAGAAGGACGACCATCCCCCCCCCTCCAAAGCGAATAACCTCGCGGCAGGTGAAGCAGAGACTCACACGAGTCAACCTCCTTTGGCTGAACTCGAAGGACACCCAACGCCGGCCAGAGGCCAAGCTTCTACCGCCCAACAGAGCCAATCCTGAAACGCACCAAGAATACCCGGCATTTACCTTAACCAGCCTCTTCGCCCAGGAGGCGCGTTTACGTCCTTTTTTGCGCCTGCCGTAAATAAGCCGGCTGCGTGGTTGCTTAGGAAGGGCGCGCGACTAGAACAGGCAACTAACCGAGCAGGGGGCGTTCGTGGGACGCCCGGAGATTGGTGCTTTGATGCGCATGGGCAGGAAGCGGCAACCACACGCGGGGGTTGGGGAGGGAAGAGCGCGAGCTCTGATTGGTTCCGTCCTTTCCCGCCCCACTTCTTATAGGCCCTCCCTCGGAGGGAGCCGGACCGGTGAGATGAATAAGAGAACGTGAGGTAGTAAATAAATCACTCACCTTGTCTGGGAGGATCAAATGTGAGAGCGCGCTTCGCCAGCAGAAACAACGGGATTAGATCCAGTCAGGCGCCACCCTGCAGGAAGAGCGCTGCTTTCTCGGGCCGGAGGAGGACGCTGCCGATGGGCTGCTGGTGGCGGAGGTTAAGTTTATGTTATGTTAGGCAATTTTTTAAAGTCGAGGATATGTCCGGGGTGAAGGCGAAAGCTCAAGAAAAGTAATCGCTGTAGCTGTTGTTTATTCTGTATTTTTTAAACCACTAGGAGAAGAGAGAGAGAATATAGTGTAAGTTACGGGGGTGCCTGAGAGAGGGAAGAACTTTCCCTAGGAAAATAGCCTTCTCCTCCAGCCTCTTCCCAATCTGGCTGAACTACTTGGCTGAAGCAAAGACCCTCCGATTCAGGTGTTCCCGATGGACAGTTGCTAGTGATATTAATAAATTGGCTTTATTCAGCTATTTTGCCCGTCTTTCCTATTGTCTCTAGTTAAAACGAAAGAAAAACCAAGTATGGGCGGGTCCTAAATGTGAAACTACAATAGCTACTTCTCCATTCTACAGTTTCAAGAATTTCTCTAAAAAGAGTATTATTGATAATGTAATTTAAAGATGCAAATTGTTTGCTGTGTTTAGTTTACTCGTCCAATTGATCCAAATTATTATACAGAGGTTTTAAATTTTGAATTGCATTACAGGGAGAGAGAGATTGATAAAAAGATTGATCGATAACTGGCTGAGATTTTGCTCAGGACTGAGTAAATGTTTCATTGAAAAGCACCAACTGAGTTTCAAAATTGGCTGCAGAAAATATTGATTGCAGTGGGGTTTACTTTGACTAGTTTTATATATAGAATTTCATTGGCATCCATCATCTCAGTTCCATACAAGTCACAATGGATGCCATTTACTAAGGTACAATATATAATAAAGATGAATTAGAAGTCAGGATAGAGTTTTATTCTCTACAGCTGATAATATTTCTAAATAATTGCAGAATCAGTCAGACTTTCTCACTGGTTAAGGCAGCCCTTATTTGCAAATGCTTTTTAAAGTCTTAAAAAACAGAAGACAGAAAAAATACGGTTTCTTCTCATTCTACCCATTACCGAACCATATTTAAAAACAACACAATTCATAACCATGATAGAGGAGGCATAAATGTGGTTGTTTGTACTTTCTGTTATGTGCTCCTGGCTACTTTCCTTCGTGACCAGATGCAAGCTCGCCTGACCAATAACCAGCCAAGACACAGTGAAGGCCTTTTGTTTCGTTTGTTGCAATAAGCGGGGAGAGAAGCTATCAAAGCTTGGTTCTCTCCAAAGTTTTAACCCAAAATATCTCCTTCTTTTATTCATCCCTATCACCGGCCGCTACAGCCCTCCTCTTTTCCCATTGGCTGAGGTAGTATGAGGTTACACTCTTTCCGTCCGCCTATACACATTTCCTGATAAACTAAATCATATTCACATAGACATGTAAATGGTTATTTTAAACTTAGTATATATTTATATCTCCATTTTAAACAATAAGTTCTTTTCCTGCTTTTCAATTCAATGTTCCTCTCATCTTATTCAGCTTATTTTCCTATTTTCCATTCAACCTTCCTGGCTAGCCATTTCCTTTACAAAAACTATCTATTTTATGACTTACCTCTTCCTTTCTCAGACCCAACTATTTTTGCCTATATGGTTTATCTTACTTCCTTAATCTCTTCCTGACTCTCACCGTCTGTATTTTTCTTATTCAATTAGTTTCCATTGTATTGTAAGTTTAACTGAAGATTTATCATATTGATGCATATTTATCATTTCTATTACAAAATATAAAGTTTATATGCCAAACTGTACAGTATTGGGTTCCACTTATTTTTAGACTAAAAGGTTATCAATATTATTATTTGATTTTTCATTCCTCCACTTCCTATTTTTAAGAACATTCACACATGCTCCAAATAGTTTGTTCACTTTATCATGTGTTTTATACAACAGCTTTCTTCATTTGAACTAGAGTTAGAAAGGGAAGTTGAAAATACTGTTTCTAATGAAGTCCTGATTTGATAATTCACTGAAAAGATTGGACTGAAAATATTTTCAAATACAGAGCAGAAGGATAGTATATTATTATAATGAATTGAAACAAAATAGGATTATATAGAAATGTTGTTATAAATGCATACAATTTATTTGCTTTCAAGGCAAGAAGAAAGAAAAAAGGGTTGATTGGTTATTTATTTATTTCAGTATTTAAATCTGTGGATCATTTTGAAATGTGGTGGTTTCAGCAAGGACTGAGTTTCTTCCCTTCTGCCCTGGTTATTTGCTCGTCTGCTTCTTTAGTGTTTCCATATGTTATTGGAGTTCTCTTACACCATGTTGACCTTCTGGTACCCTATATCAGGTCAGTATGCTTTGCATTTTTGCACTGTAATTTATGTTCTAATGTTACATCAATGAAACTTTTCTTACTCTCCTGTTTTTTGCCCTAAAATTTTTTTAAAAATGAATTTAGGTTACCTCCCCATATCAAAATGGATAGAGTTTATTTCATAATATACTCAACAGATAGATAGACATGCACTTATAGCAATAGCACTTATACTTATACCACTTCATAGTGCTTCACAGTCCTCTCTAAGCAGTTTACAGAGTCAGCATATTGCCTCCAACAATCTGGGTCCTCATTTTACTGACCTTAGGCTTAGAAGGATTGAGCTGGTCAGAATCAAACTGCTGGCAATCAGCAGAATTAGCCTGCAATACTGTATTCTAACCACAGCACCACTACAACTACATGTCTTCACATATGTAATTTATATACTGAAGTGATTCTTTCCTCTTTCCTTTGCTCTTTTAATTAGATTTGCAAAAGGTTACCATTGAAATTGAGGTGGCAGAAATCAAATGTATTTCTGTGTTTATTTGCTTACTTTAAATATATTTTTCATTCATATGTTTTCCAAAATAGCTTGTCTGTTAAAAAATATCAGACCAAATATATAATGGGAGAAACAAGGATAAGTGTCTTAGATATTTCCTTTGAAAGCTCCTTGAACTTAATTGGAATGAAGAAAGTACAGGAATACACTGGTAGTTTTGTATGTTCCCATTCATTGTGAAACGTCACGATACAGGTAATTCTCAACTTAACAACCAGAGTTGAAGTTATAATGGACTCCATCAAAGGTACTTATGAGTCAATTTTGATGGCTGCTCCTCCTCCACAGTCACATGACTGCATTTCAGGCACTTGATAACCGGTCCACATTTATGGCTGTTTGTAGCATCCCATGGTCATGTGATCATGATTTACAACATTTTACTGAAAATTGGCATTTACTTTCAGTTTTGTCAAAATCATTTGGTAGCAAACAATGGGTTTCATTTAATTATTGTGGTGTTTGCTTAATGATTGTGGATTTGCTTAATGACTTCTGCAAAAAAAAAAGGTTTACCCATTTTATGGGCATTGCAAACTACAGCTGTAATGGCAGGCTGCCTTATGGTCATAAGTCAAGAAGTATCTATAAAGATGCTTATTGGATCATTCCCAAGGTTTTCACAGGCCCAATATATTTAATTTCAAATAATGTCAAGTTTTATCATCTTGGTTCCTTTGGTGTATATTACAACTCTACATATGATGAATATCTATCTAACTTTCATTTACTTCTGAAAATACTGCATAGAAACTTATTCTTTTCCTCCTCCTCTCTCCACTACATCCATTTTTTTTGCTTTATTAAAGTATAAATTCATTATTATTGATATTATCAATGATTGATATCAATTACTACTTAGGACTTCAGTGGCATCCTTGGCTTTGACTCTGGAAGACTATTTTAGCTCAGTGTTCTTAAATGAAGCTGAGGAGAAATATTAAGACTCAGATTTATCCTTATCAATTTTAAGTCACTTTGAACTGACCACATAAAATATTGTAACTGCTTGTGCTGTATAAATATTAGCCATTATTTACAAATCTGCATTTTCTGTTTTTAAATGTACATGCTTTGATAAACATAATTGTGCTTAGTTTACTGTATAATTAACTATTTCAATACAGTTTGTCTGCATCTGTCTTACTGCCTGACAAGTTAGGGAGGTTCCTTTCTGAGTTTTTTTTCTCTGCCGATTATGCACCTGTGGGCTAAACCCTCTCTTACCTGATCATTTCCTGGGAAGGAAATGGTATTGGCAAACCACTATCCTGCAAAAATCTATGTAGTTATCAAAGAAATCTTTATTTTTACTTATACTACATCACTTATCATTAGTGTCAACATTAATAATGGGTGTTGTGTATTTTGTACGTTTTGTCATTCTTATTGCATAGTAGGATGCTTAATATCATATATTGCTTACCTTGCAGTGATGCAGGGGCAATGCCTCCAGAAAGATGCTTGTTTGGAATAATGTTATGCTTTGCTTCCCTCTTGGGTAAGTACAATAAAAATAATACTGGGTTTTTGAGGTTGCTTAGATGTGGGCTTTGATAAGACTACAGAGATGAAGAAATCTTAACCATAGGAAAAGAACATTCACTGAAAGATGCTTGGGACAATGCAGTTGGTATGTGCAATTGAGACAAAAACAGTACACTTTTTACAGAGTTTTAAAGGTCAAAACAGTTATACAGAGTTGCATCTACTGTAATGAAATAGTCTGAAAATCTGTTCAAAAAAAACACTGGGCAGAGTAGGGGAGCACAGGATGTTAAGCTATTGCAGGAATAGCTAAAGAGTATCTCACTCTCCATTTAGGTACAGAGGATTTAAACTAGTTACTTAACTGTAGTTATTGAATGGCTGGATTAAAAAATCATGGTTGGCAGGTTTCTCCAAACCCCTTATATATAGCATGAAATGAGTCCTCATACAGTTAATTTATTTCTACATTTCTTTTATTATGTCTTGCATAAAAGATTACTATTTTCATGTGGCTATAATTGTGCCTTAGTCTTCATTGCATTCAATATCACACTTCTCTATTCTTACTCTGTTTCAATTGTTCATTCACAGGTATTGCCACCATATATGTTCGGTACAAACAAGTCAGTGCTTTGAACCCTGAAGAACCCAAGATGCTCAGACTAAATAAGGCTGGCTTAGTGTTAGGAATGGTTAGCTCTTCTGGGATTTGCATCGTTGCGAACTTCCAGGTTTGTGCTTTGTCTTTGATGATTGAATTACAAAAGTACATATCTTCATCATAATAGCCTATTCTAAGGATCTGCCCAAATGAAGGTTGATAAGAAAGGTATGTGTTATGTTGTTTGACATTGGGAACATCATTGTTTTAATCCCACCATTCCATGCTTCCAAACAAATGGAGAAAGAGACAGCACAAGATGCACAATATATTTTGAATAGTATGTGTCTACGTGGAAGCACCTTTAATTGGTATTGATTGGCAATCAAATACAATATATTTGGATAGTGAGGATATTTCTATATCTATTTTTTAATTTTATTTACCATAAGCAACGGTATAAATCAAATAAATGTAAGTTTCTTAAGTTTTCAGGGAAAAACTGTTGGTATTTGGAATGGTTTTATTTTATTTAGGCCAGATAATATTTTTAAAATGGATATATTTTCAAGCAACATACTACATTATTAATATAATTACAGTTTAAAAGGATCTATTTCAGTGCAAATAAATCTCAGTGTCTGAGAAATGTTTTCTCAGAAATAATAATTTAGCAGAATAAATCAGTCCTGACAACTAGAAAACTTTGAGAAAGTGTAACAAATACAGTATTTGGCATTGCTGGACTAAACATCAGCATCTTTTACATCTCTCATAAAATAGTGTGCTCAGGAGCATTTGCTGGTAATGTTCTTTATTGCTTATTTGGTCTATATAATTTTTCCAAGCATCAAATATATTTTGTGTGATGAACACTAGATGTCAGTGTAGCATGAAAAGAATGAGAAGAAAGAAAGAAAGAATGAGAAGAAAGAAAGAAAGAAAAAACCCAGTGATTAAGAAAAGTGTAGATAAGTTACTGCACATTTAAAACCTTTTCCCCTTGAATAAATACTATGACACTAACTAAATGTAACTAGATTGTAAGCTGTTAAAAGCTGTCTAGAGATACTTATTCTGTGGAAAATAATTGATTTTGTTTTCAAGACATTAATTATGTATCTTATCAAAATTCTCTAGTCTAAGCTATTTTTTTCTGGTCTAGGAGGCATCCTTCTTTCCATAAAGTAAACAGACTGTTGATGCTAAATATCAAGGTTAATTCCAAGTCTCTCATTCCTCATACATTTAGGTCTGAAATACAAGAAGTATTTTTTAAAATACTTTATAAGTATATTTATTATATTTGTACTTCTTTTCTCTAAGATTTATTCTATAGAGTCCAATGGAATATGTTAAGGCAGGAAATAGCAACTGGCCAAGGTAATTTATTAGATTTTGTGGCCAAGTATGTATTTAAATCTCAGCCTCTTTATTCTCAATATTCCATTCTTAATTCCTTTACCATAGTACTTCATAAACAACAAATTAATTACAAATGACTACTCAGAAATAGATGCAGTTTTGAATGTGATGTTAGAATCTGGCATTTCTTATTGTGATGGCAATAATATTTGCTATTGAGATTTTACATTTTGGCCTTAAAATGAAAAACACTTGCTGCAAAGTATTCCTTTAAAGCCAAAGATAGATGACCATTTATAATGTTGATTTTGGGAGAAAGAAGAGCTCATATCCTTGAAAAATGTGGAGCGTTTTTGATTAGTTACAATAGATGATGATGATGATGATGATAATAATAATAATAATAATAATAATAATAGATCTCTTATAAGATCACTCAAAGTTAGTCATTGTGAAATATATCAGAAAACACATAATATAGAAAGCTGTTTGAAGTTAAGCTGATCTTACTCTATCCCTAATGATCAACTACTTAGAAACGACACGAATAGCATGCTGATCTCACTGAAGGAAAAGCAAAATAAATGGCAATTTAATTATTTATTTGTAAATGTGTTTGTTTATTAATATTTATTGGCCGCTCATCTTAACTCGGTGATTCTGAACGGATTGCAACCATAAACCTTTTTTTGGCTATAGAATAGGGTCTGCATTCAATGACTATTATAATAAACTAAAATGTAAAGGTAGGATTAGATTTAGAAAGAATAAATACCTACATATCATCAGCAGAAGAAAATATTTTTTGTATTTATAATTCTGTGAAAAATATTGGCCTCTTTTATTTTTTCTGAATTTTTGCATATAATTTGCCACTGAATATTACAAGTCAGTCATATTGATATACAGTATAAAGTCTGAGTAAGCAGATAAGCTCAACATTTAATGCTTGTTTATTTCATAAAGTGCATTTGTGAAAAAGCAATGCCTCCCTCAAGTCAGTACTGTAACTGGTTTCATCTACTCTGGCATCTACCATAACCAATGTATCCCATAATTATCAGTCTTTTACAATTCTGCCCAGACATTTTAGTCCATTCCTCCATGTCAATTTGTTTAAACCCAGTAATATTTGAGGATCTCCAGCAATACCTGCTTTCTTTTAAGCCCTGGTGAATTTCTATGGAGTTTTAGACACTCACTGAATCATTCAAAAATATTTTGAGTCATTTTATTCTCTTCTGTTCGTTCTATTGTAAGACTTAATTGTAAGTTTGAGATCATTGCTTTGATATATGACCCATTTGCATTTCAGATTATGGTTGATTATCTGTAAAATTATGTGATATGAACAAAAATCATTCTCTCCTCAAATGGCTGTTTATCCCAAAGTAATAAAAATATCCTCAAACTGTGATATTGTCATCTTCATGCTTGACAGCTGGTTCTTATTATCAAATTAAGTGTTTGGTTTCCCCCAGACAGAGCAACTAGGTGTCCTATAAAGCTTCCCATTGCCTTATTTATTCTCCTGAAATCTAGTTGCTTATTTAGCTGTTGGATTTTTTTGGGCAAACTTCAGAAACTTCTTGCCCATGAATCCCATTTTTCCCAGGGATCTTCTTATCTTGGAATCAGAAACGCTTTGAGCATAGGCAAGGGAGGCCTGCAAATCCTTGGATGTTGTTCTTTTTTTTTGTCTATGATTTCATGGACAATTTTATGATGTTCTTTTAGAGCAATTTTGACAGAATAGCCACTTTTTGGAAAATTCAGTAACATATCCACATCAGAAGACTGATTAATTTTTTTACCATGGCACATTGAATGTAAGCTGACTTTGTTTAGGAAATACCAGTAGTAGCTCTAATAATCTTCAGTGGCAAAGATACACATTCAGAAAAATTTAAACAGCCAAATACTTTTTCACAGTATTATAACCTGGCAAAAGAAAAAGGGGAAATTATTTTCTTAAATTACTCATTTAATTGGGTGAATATTGTAGTTTGGAAGAAAAAGACTCATTAAATAAAGTTGCCCTCTTTGAACAAAATTGCTGTCTTTAGGATATATAACATTACAATCTTGTTCTTAATTAGAAATAATGAACTTCCAATAATTATAAATCTCTAGGTTTTTATAATGGTTTGCAAATAGCAGTATTCGTTGTTGAGCCAAAATTCTGGTAATTTTGAGAGATTCTATTCAAAGATTCAGTTTTTGTTATATTGTTTGAACCTTTTAAGGATTACCCCAGTATTCTCTAAAAATCATTAAATTATGTTATTTTCCTGTAGAAAAACGCTGTATATTCAGTGCATATATTTGGAGCTTTCCTCACATTTGGAATTGGAGTCTCATATATTCTGGTTCAGACAATTATTTCCTATAAGATGCAACCACAAATTCATGGGAAGGATATTTTTTGGATCAGATTTACAATACTGCTATGGTGCACAGTAAGCATGGCGAGTAGTATCCTTTGTGGTAAAATAGTGCAAGTGGTGAATGAGAGTTATTTCTTAAAAGTCTATTTTAAATGCTTTATTTTCAGGTGGCTAAAATGTTTACTTGTTACAACAATGCTGGAAAAGATAACAAAATATATAAACTTCAGAAGCTTTATTTTTTGATTTCCAGAGAGCTATGTTAGACTGTTGCAATAAATTATCTTGTATCTTTAAAGATGACTTAATCCGTTGATGTTTATTTCCATGGTCTACAGTTTTACCAGTTGCATGAGATGTTATTTGTGTTAGGAGTATGTAGCTTATGGTATGTAATGTGGAAAGATGTCAGAAGGAAATAATATATATATAAAAAACATTATATATATATACTGTAGTATAATATAGTATAATATATGTATTATATTACACATTATGTTCTACATATGTGTATAATATCAATGATTTTATATTGCTAAACTAATCAACACATATTGCATAGTATGATTTTTTAAAAATATATTTATATAAATAAATGTATAAACTGCCCAACTCAATATCCAACCTGATTCTGGTCAGCAATTGCCCTTATGAATGTATTTTATCTTTGGATATTATTTCATGCACTTGATTACATGTATTTGAATCTATTATGGCATAATAATTTGTTAGTATTCAGTGTGTTAATATTTATTTTATTCATGTTACATGTATTGATTGTGAAAAGGAATTCATAATACAGTATTCTACAACAATAGGTAAAACTTTCTGTAATTTTATCTATATATAAAATAGATATAAAAATATAGCATTTGTGTTACTGTTAGAATCCCTGATTTCTGTTGATACTTTTCTCAACTGCATCCTCTTAAATCACATTATCAGGGGTTTCTGAGAATCCCCTGATCCTTAACAACAATTTTCTGGATGAGTGAAATGCCACGATTGTATTTTATACTGACTGACCAGATGGGACATTTGCTGCATTATTGGCACATTTCAAAAGGATGGGGTAAACTTTAAAAAAATCATTTAAACTAAAGATTATACCATCCCTTCTCAAAACCTCCCTAGTATACAGCCTTTAAATTAAAAAAAAGCAAGTGGGGTTAAATAAGAATGGATGGAGAGCAAGGCTATTTCCTCTGTATTTCAAAAATATTCCTTAATGATTAAAGTGGCTATTTCTACATTCATTTTACTCAGATTAAGTGGAATAGATTCCCTATGGAGGCAGCATTGGAATCCCCAGGAGAAAGTAAGTTTGGTTTTTCTTAAAAAGACAATAGAAGATACAAATGAAACATGTCGAGTGCATTGCAGAAGACATTCCAAGATATTCTTAATACATTGTAGTGTTTATATATTGTTTTCCCCAAAACCATACTTAGTCCTGCAAACAAACAAAAACATAAGCAAGAAGTCTACTTCATTAGTAATTGGCTTCATTACTGCAATTTAAAAAGAGTAGCTGGTTTAGCCTCTTTAATATTTAATAAAGAGAATATAATAAACCTAAAGTTAGGTTTTCTGCTGAATCAGACCAAAGTTTTATTCCTAGATATTTCTGTGAAGTTCAAAGACAGGACATGAACAAAAGGTATTTTATTTTGTCCCCCCCCCCCTCGGCGAGTAGTATAATGCCTGTAAACATGGAGAAAGTGTGTGTGTGTATTTGTATGTATGTGTAGATACATAAATCATGTTTAGTAGCCATTAATAACTTCCATTGTGAATTAGGTAATTATTTGTCTTACTCCTTTTTTTTGTTATATTTTGGTATTGCATTTGTTCAGCACACGTTAAAGCCTTCACTAATTTCAGCTCCCATAATCTCTAGCCAGCATCAAAGGCAAGTTCCATAAGCATTATCTGTCTGGAAGACACTAGGGATTTCTTTTTAATGTACATAAATATACATAATGTAATGAAATAAAAAAGTGTGATGCTCTCTTTAACCTTTAGTCATTCTCTCCTATAGTTGTCTAAGTCTTTTGACTGCTTTTAAAAAGGCCTTGAAACATAACTTGCAGGTTTTTAATTGTTGAAACTTTTTAATCTATTGGTCTTAATTTGATTTTATGTTTTAATTGTAAACTATCAAGATATTTCAGTAGTCAGTAGTATAAACATTCTAAATAGAATGAAAATTAAATAAGGAACTTTCTTGTGCTTATTATTGGTTTTCATTACTTGAGTTTACCATTAGAACTGATGATATTCTTCCATTGAAAAGCACTCTCAATACTTTTTAAAAAAAATGTCTTCTGCAGGGATACACTGTCCATATCATTGCCACAGTTTCTGAATGGTCTTTGGCTTTCACTTTTCTCAGTTTTTTTCTGACTTTCATCCGTGACTTCCAGGTAGGTTTCTCTACTGCAAGGGTGGGCAAATCTTTGGTAGATAGAAAGTGTCCTTAATCTGGGGACAGTGGCTACAGATGACATTGGAGAAAGAAGTTGGAACCAAATTATATACAAGGGATTTGCCATTTTTGAGTGAGCGTTGTATGAGAACCACAAATAGGAGTTGGGTCATATAGACAGATGTTTCTGTTTTACTAAATATCTTATGTTTGGATATTTTGAAGTTAAGTAAATCTATCTGAAGCCATCAGAACAATTTTCCATAGCTACAGGACATTAAGGAAATACTTTATTAAAATGTATTATGAATTTCTGCAACAAAAGTTAGTCTTTGATATTAGTTGTAAGCAAAATAGGTGATTATTCAAAATATTTCATGTTTATTTTTCTTGGTTTTCTGAGCTTAAAGCTAAGTAGAGACATATGACTCTTTTATTTTCAGAAACTGAACTATTATATTTTTTTGAGAATAATTGCATCTATAAAAGAAAGACCAAATTGATCAGTTGTTAGCAATGCATTTTCTTATTTTTGAATTAGGATTGGAGAGCAATATATTAGGCTGCCCATAGTAAATGTCTCCTAACCCATGATTTAATTGTAGAAAGGGCAGATCTGGCACATTACTGAGAATTAGGTGAAGGGAGAGACTTTCAGAATTGTGACAATCATGTTTCTGATTTGAATTTTGGTTTTTACCTCAGCTGAAAGTCCAAGGCATGGGAGGGAGAATGGTTGTTGTGTTGTAGAAAGCCATGCCTATAACCAGAGATACTTTTCCTCTGATTACTGGGTGTGAAATTTTGTTTCTGATGGACTCAAGGGTCAAACTTTGATTATGGCTGCTTGTTAAATGCACTATATGGCTTAAGACCTGGACATTTTCAGCACTGTCTATTCTCAGCACCATTTGCGCTCTTAGTAAGATCAGGGAGGGAGGGTTCTCTTTGGGTCTCTATTCCGAGCATTATTATCAGAGGTCTTAAATTGATCCTTCTTGGTTGCTGCTTCCTCCTATTGACCAGCATTTCACTTGTGAATAGGTGGCTCAGACTTTTTGGAATTTGTATTGTTTAATCATGAGAGATGAAGCATACATTGCTTAAAATTGGATACAATTGAAACAGCCTATAAGCCTAAAAAAATACAAACATATGTAATTTACCTCAGTAATGGGGGGGGGGGAAGTAAAGGTAGTGTGCTGCAGAATATTTCTCCCCTTCTTTCTTTTGTCCTCTCCCCATTATCCATTTTAAGCTAAAATTTATGTAGTACTGTACGTGTTCAAATCAGTGGTAGATTTGAACATATCTGTTTGGTATTGGAATCTGTTTGGAGACGTATTTTTCCCTGGGGTTCTTCTGGGGCCAGTGGCATCAATGGTTGGGCCTTAGCTGACTTAGCTGTTGCTTTATGATAACAGAACCAAATTAACTAATACATTTCATTCTTTTCCACCATTTATTGTAGAAAATCTCATTGCACATGGAAACAAAACTCTTTGGCCCTAATCTTTATCATATTCCAGAGCAGCTCCTGGAAGATGACCAAGGAATACTAATCACAGGAAGCATATGAGAAGAAAACAGAAAATGACATGAATTAGAACTCCTCTCAGAAAAAAGCTTTGGTTCACATATAGTGCTTCCATTTTTAATATGCAGAAATAATGTCTATTAGTTCCACTGGCATCAGCCCATATACAGTATAGGCTATATATACAGTAATGTGCAAATGTTTTAGGCAGTTGTGCAAAAATGCTGTAAAGAATGCTTTTAGAAATACAAATGTTTAATAGTTTATTTTTATCAGTTAACAGAATGGAAAGTAAATGAACAAAAGAGAAATCCAAATCAAATCAATATTTGGGTGACCATCCTTTGCCTTCAAAATAGCATCAATTCTTACACTTGCACAAAGTCAAGGATTTTGTAGATTAGAGTCAGGTATATGATTAACCAATTATACCAGTTGGGCTAATGAACATCAATTTCATATGTAGATTGAAACACAGTCGTTAACTGAAACAGGAACAGCTTAAAGGCTTAAAACTGGGTGAGGCACAGCCAAACTCTGCTATTAAGGTGAGGTTATAGAAGACAGTTTTATATCACAGATCACATACAATGGCAAAACAGAACATGAACCAGACAAAAGGCCTTGTTCCTTGCATCCCAAGGTCTCTCCCAGGTAAAGATTGCAGAGCAGACTGCAAAGCAAAATGTGCTGTTCACGCTCTTTTGAAGCAGCACAAAAAATAGGCAACACTGAGGCCCATAGACAAAGTGGTCAGCCAAGGAAACTTAATGCAGCAGATGACAGACACATCATGCTCACTTCCCTTAAACATTGGAAGATGCCCAACAGTGCCATCAGCACAGAACTGGCAGAATCCAGTGGGACTCAGGTACACCGATCTACTGTCCAGAGACATCTGATCAGAAGTCTTCATGGAAAAATTGTGGCCAAAATGCCATACCTCTGACATGGAAACAAGGCTAAGTGACTCAACTATGCACAAAAACATTGGAACTGGGATGTAGAAAAATGGCAGCAGGTGCTTTGGATTGATGACAGGCAGTTTGTTCGCCGAAGGGCTGGAGAGCGTACAATAATGTCTGGAGGCAACAATGAAGCATGGTGGAGATTCCTTACAAGTTTGGGGCTGCTTTTTTGCAAATGGAGTTCAAGATTTGGTCAGGATCAATGGTGTCCTCAATGCTGAGAAATACAGACAGATACTTATCCATTATACCATCTGGGAGGCATGTGATTGGCCCCAAATTTATTCTGCAGCAGGACAGTGAGCCCAAACACAGCCAATGTAATTAACCATCTGGGAGTGATAGTTTGGCCCCCACAGAGACCTGATCTCAACATCATCACTTCTGTTTGGGATTACATGAAAAGACAGAAGGATTTGGGGCAACCTATATCCACAGAAGATCTGTGGTTCTCCAACATGTTTGGAACAACTTTGAAGGAACCTTGCCAAGTTCTTCAAAAACTGTGTGCAAGTGTACCTAGAAGAATTGATGCTATATTGAAGGCAAAGGGTGGTCACCCCAAATATTGATTTGATTTGGATTTCTCTTCTGTTCACTTCCCATTTTGTTAATTGATAAAAATAAACTATTATATTTATTTTTTAAACAAATTTTATTGGTTTTTTAATTAATACAAAGTGCTCAAGACACACCGTGGTGCTGGGGTAATCAAAAATCCAAAAACAAAACATACATAAGTAATTCAGTCAATGCATCAAATTTCCCGCAAATAGCTTATATATTTAAACTAGTCTATTTCTACCATAAATTTCTATTAATCTTAAACCTGTTTTAAATCTTTATGCAATTACAAGACCATAATCAAATTTAACTTCAAATACATTATCAGTTCAGGTATGTCTTCTAAATATGTCCTAATTCTTTAATTTCATCATGGATCTTATTTATTTCTTCTTCCACAAATCTCTCCCAGTTAAAATAAACAATCTATCCTATATCTAATCCATCAATCCATCAATTTTTTTGTTAAAAAATAATAACAACCTTAAATCATTTGAGTCCCTTAGACAAGGATCTATTTTCATCCATTTAATTATCAAACCTAATATCATCCATATTATCAAAGAGAACACATCATCTTATTAAAATCACATTCAATTAACTATTAATTCAATCCCAATCTAAAACATCTCTTCATTTTCCTTCATTCCATTATATAGTAATTTTCATACATTAATCGCCCATTTTTTTTCTTATTTCTATTCAAAAACCTAATCTTTAACTCAGTCCATAGTTCTAAAATGCCTTATATCCAATATATATAATTTTAAATTTCTCCTTTCAGTCTTATTCTAGGCTTTATTTTCTGCCAAGCAGGTTTTCACAACAACGTTTCCCTTCCAACCGGTAAATCTCTCTTTGTTATTCTTAAAGCCTCGCTGCATGGTTCAAATCTCCATCTTTGTTTTTTTTTTGGTCCTTGCAAATATAGATAAAATGCTTGTAGGATGAAATAAGTTCCTCTGTATCCTCAATTAAGTCATCTTTTAGTGTATTTTGATTTGTAGAGTAGTCAGGCATAATCTGAAAATCACTTTTAAAGTTTGAAGCAGAATCTCTGATTCTTAGTTCTGTGGTGATCTCTTTCATTGTAACAAATTCCTCTTTAATTTCCTTTATTTCCTCTTCTGGTATATTTTGGTTTATAGCATAAACAGATGTAATCTGAAGATCAGTTTGAAAGTTTGGGGTAGCATCAACTCTTCATTCTGTAGTAATCCTTTTCCTTATAGCACATATTTCTTCAGATACCTCATAAATCTTTTCCAGTATAAGCTTGCAATGTAAATGAGAGTAGAGTTTCTCCATTTTAAAAGTAATCAAAGAAAGTCTTTTCATTATTATTACTACTACTACTACTACTACTACTACTACTACTACTACTACTACTACTACTACTATTTAATGAAGGCTATAATTAAACAGTATCCACCCACTCAGTTCCCACTGCACCAGCTTATCTGTTCCAGGAATATTTTGAAGGTCAGGTTTCAATCCAAAAAATAGTTGCAATATTAGCTTTTCACCACTAGATGTCCTCAGTAAATAAAAAAGAAACTTCCAGACACCATTTTCCCCCTTTTTTTCTCTTTTAAAGGAAAGAGTGGAGAAAGAAATATTCTTCCAATGTTAGCTCTTAATAAAATTCAAAAAAGCGTTGTTGTTTTTTTTTCTGTATCCCAAAATGAGTAAAAATAAATTATAGTCTTTAACAAGTTTTTATTCTCAACGCCTCTCTTCCCACACATACAAAAGCCGCCCTTTCCAAATGGGGAAATAATTCCAACCCAAGTTTTTTCAGGGAAAAAAAAAACAAGTAAGGGAAAGAGAGGGGCTAAAGGGGCCTCACCCGGATCCTCCACGGTGGGTCTAATATCGCTTAGCTGTAATTATGACTTTAGCTGGTGCAGCAGGATGATCGGCCATCTTGCAGGACCTAAGGAAATAACTGGAGCTGCAGGAGAAGCTGCTGCTCTCCCGCAGCCACCAGCAAGCCTCCTTCTCGGTGGTTGCCCCTCCAGGGCAACTTTTGACCCACTGGGGGGTTTACCGACGCAGAAAACCCAGCCGGGCTGGAGACAAGTCTCCAGACACGACTGGTGTCGCCATGTACCGGAACCGGAAGTCTACTATTACTTATATTTCTGAAAGCATTCCTAATTTGCAGCATTTTTGCTCAACTGCCGAAAACTTCTGCACAGTACCGTAGGATTTTTAAATACTGTATATGCTTATATAACATTCAATGCAATATATAAAAATGTCATTTTATATGAAAATACTACTATTAATGAAGGATTTTTACTGACTTTTGCCAATTGTTTATATAAAAAGTTTTTAAGTTTTTCACAAAACATTGTAATGTATAATATAAAATAATAATGGTTATATGGTATTATATATGCTTACAGATTTTTATAAGCTGAATAAAAATTTTGCAGATTAAAGTTTGCTGACAAAAGTTGCTTTTTTGTATGCCTCATAAAATTGTTGCTACTATTGTCAGAATATCTCGATATTGTAACTTTTTCAGACCACAGTTGTTTGCCTAAACAATATTCTCAAGATGAACAATAATTTGTGACTAGCTAGATTAACAAAGTTTAATAATGGGACAAATGTGGGTAGAGGTAAGAGCATGTCTTCAGACAAAGAAATGAAAAAAAAAAGCATGGTCTGGGTATTTTTGCTTCTTGAAATTCCCAAGCTTCCCCTTACTAACTTCCTCTTAATTTATATTAAAATATTACTGGAAACTGGGCATAGAATGGCTCTAAGTTATCTAAACTAATCTCAAATTCTATTATATACATTAGTGTTTTAATAATTTTAATCTATATGGTAATTGACAATAAACGCTCTCATTTGTATTGTATATTGGTATTATAAAGAGCGAAGTCACAATGAAAATTTTGGAAATATAAAAAGGGATTTTAGTAGAATCAAAACAAATACATATTTACTTTACATTGGTAGTCATAGAAATATTAAAATTAAGTATTGGCAGCTGCCTCTAAAACAGTGATAGCCAGTATATATGTTGTATAAATGGACTTGAAAAGCTAGAGTCATAAGACATCACCATCCTATAAATTGACCAAGTGAAGAAGTAGGCTATTTTAGATAACATAAACAGTAACAAAAGGAACGATGCTCACTTAACATTATCTTATATAATCTGGGGTGACATTATATGAACATTTGGGTAAAATTTGACTCATGTTCAATACTTCAGTAGATTCTCTACAGCTCATTTCTCTTATTTCTGGGCCTTTAAGAGTAGATATATTCTTCTTTGCAGAAAGTTTAATCTCTTAGATATTCCTAGGTTAGTTTTTCTGTCATAAATAATACAGGCGGTCCTTGTTTAACCACTCATTCAGTGTCTATCCAGACTTAACAATGTTGAATCAGCAGCTATGACTAAATGTTGGAGTGGATGGATGTTGCAGTGTCCCCGTGATCATGTGATCACAATTTGTGATCTTTCCTGCTGCTTTCTCACAAGCAAAGTTGGTGGGAAGAGGGCAGGAATTTGGAAGTCAGTGTCATGTGATGTCCTTAATGACTCACATCCTCTTTTAACAATGGCAGCCAGAATTACCATAGCTAAGCAGCACAGTTCTGTGGTTTTTCAATTTACCACCATGTTGCTTAATGATGGAGTTTTTGGTCTCAACATTCTTAAATGTGGACTACCAGTAATCTCTTCTTTGGCGCTCTTTGCTGAGTAACGTTATACAAACCTGCTGAGTTTTTCTTATTCTTTCTTCAGCTTGTCTCTTTGCAAATGAAGTTGTTTCTCTTTGTTGTTAGGATATCTAAGACAAAACCAACTCCAGGTATATAGAATCCAATATTATTTATTTAAGTAAACTAGAAGAATACCTCAGATTAGGAATCATATTTAGACAATGTGATCAATACTTAAACCAAACACAAGTAACGTTTTTGAAGATAAAATCAGATGCTGCTGAAATGATAAATGCATTTGTGGATATTTATCATTTATAAGCCTTTGTGCTCATTCATTCACATTTATATAGTTACCCATAAAAAAAGAAACATTTAAAAACATTCCATAATTTTACAAAACTATCAACATTATTAAAAAATATTAGAAATGAGCATCTTTAGTATTGCAGTATAACCATCTGACCTATTCTCCATTTCCCTGAGATTCCCAAGACTGTTGATGTAGCCACATATTGAGGGGTTAGCAGAAAGTTGACAACCGTGGTTACCAACCAGTCTCAGTGTGGGGAGAATGATGTTCCACAAAAAGGGTAGCATGGCAGAAAAGGCCTGTCTCCTAGGTCCTGCCAAATGTAACTCCTTAACAGATAGAACTGCAGTGTACCTATTATGCCACACTTCATGGCATGGGCAGATATAATTGTGAAGAGGCAGTCCCTCAAATAACCTGCCCAAGCAGTGAAGGGCTCTGAAGGTCAAATCTTGAATTGGATCTGGAAGGAAATTGGCAACCAATGCAGCTTATGTGATGATCTAGGAACACACCTAAGTGCCCACACCAAAAATGTTTTCCACCAGCTGAAGTTTCTGAATACTCTTCAGGGGCAGCCTATGTAAAGTGCATTACAATAGTCCACCTGGAAGGTGAATATGGTATGAGTGACCATGACCAGGGTCTCCCAATCTAATAATGGGCATAATTGGCACACACCACACAACTGTACAAAGGCCCACTTAACCACAACTGCCGCCTGCTCCTTGAAGCAGGTGTCATAAGCTAGAACCCCCACCTCCCCAGGTCTTCTTGGGCAGTATAATCCCATCCAGTACCAAAGATGGCAAAATGCTAGAACCAGAAGGCCCCTTACCCATTCAGCATTGATGGTGTTCGGCCGAAGCCTGCTGTTTCCCATACAGGCTCCCAAGGTCTCCAGGAACTGGGATAGGACATCAACAACATTTAATTTGCCAGGAGATAATTATATGAAATATAATTGGATACTATCGGCATATCATGGTGACAGGTGATCTCACCTGATGGCTTTACATAGATTTTAAATAGGAGCAAAGAGTCCACCAAATCCTGAGGCACCATTCCTACCATAGTAGGGGTTCAGAACAAGTTCTCCCATTTCCAATCAACAATGATATTAATTCTGAAGAAAGGAGAACCAAAACAATACAGTGCTGCCTACCCCAATCCTGGAGTTGATTTAGAAAGATACCATGGTTGATGGTATCAAAGGCTGCTGAGAGGTTGAGCAGAGGGAGAATGGATGCATAACCTCCATCTTGCCCTTGCAAGAGATCATTTAAAAATGTGACCAATACTGTTTCTGTCCAATTCCAAGACTTGAATTTTGACTGAAAGCAGCCCAGACAATCCATTTCATCCAGGGCCTCTAGAGCAGGGCTTTTCAACCTTTTCACCCATTGTACCACTTTTAGGATATGGCAATATCCAAGTACCACCAGTCGCCTAGCAAGGTGTCAAAAATTTGATAACCAAAAAAAAAAAAAGGAAAAAAGTGATAAAGTACAGGTAGTCCTTGACTTACAACAGTTCGCTTACAACTGTTCAAAGTTACAATGGCACTGAAAAAAGTGCCCCCCAAGCCACAGCCGAGCAAGACACCTGCCTGCCCGCCCAAGGTTTTCATTGTTGTGAGCATTTCTGTTGAGGATTGGCAGTGGGAGTGGGGTGTTTGTTTCCCCCGCCCGTCTGATGGGTGATTGCAGCAGATTTTGGTCACTTCACATGACCCTGGGACACTATGACCGTCATAAATATGAATCAGTTGCAAGCATCTGAATCTAAATCACAAGACCTTGGAGATGCTGCAACATTCCAGCTGATCGCGCTTCTTCTGGGCTCAGCAGAAGCGCCAGGATCAGTGCTGCTTTCCAGCTGATTGGTGCTTCTTCAGGGCTCAGAAGCACCAGGATCAGTGCCAAACTCCAGCTGGAGCCTGGCGCTGATCCTGGCGCTTCTGCTGAGCCCTGACAGTCCTGCAGCTCCAGCCATCTTTCGCTCAGGCTTTTTCAGCTCATTCCCCTCCCCCACTACTTTTCTAGGATGGTCGTGTACCACCTGCCTATGTACCACAGGTGGTACCCGTACCACTGGTTGAAAAGCCCTGCTCTAGAGCTTCTATGCTAACAATTACCCCAAAAGGGGGAATTAAGACATTAAATAAAATTTGTTCAGTTTATTTATTAAATTTACAACTTCCATACCTAAGAAAGAATGCATCATTGTTAGACCCATCTACATACCCCCCCCCCCCGGGCTGCTTTAGTTAACCAGGAGGGTCATAGATCTAAAGAGTAGATGGCCAAGTTCACATTCATAAAGACCCTATCCAAGCCCTTCAAATACAAACTATTTCTAGGTAACAGGGCGAGACCCAGCCCCATGCATCTCCCCAGGACCTGCAACCAGCCCAGCGTGCAACTGAGAATGAATTTGAGTGACTTTATCTGTAATACTGAGCAAATTATTCTGAGTGGTCTTTTAGGGGGCTGTTTGAGTTTGCTCTACTCAAGAGGACACATATCATCTGAAATAGGACTACCAGATGGCTATCTGCAGACATAAGAGTGAAGTATTGTTGCTTACTGCCCCAAGGTAGGTCTTAAGTGCAGATCTAACCATGTTTGGACAAGTTAGTCCCTTATCATGTGCTAGTGATGCTCTAGACATCTTCCATTTAATTCCCCTCAACTCTTCTGTAAATCACAGGGAGTGACAGGGATGAAAGGGGATCCTATCACAAGGAGTAATGGATCCATGAAAAGGGAAAGGTTGCCTAGGTGGATTGGATTGGAATCCAATCTACAGCCTTAGCAGTCCTCTTGTTTCAAGTGGTAATGAAGGGTTGAGATGAATCATGCAGCACACTGTCGGGAACAATCCCCAGCTCCCTCTGAAACCCATCTGGGTTCATCAGTCACTGAAAGTAGACCTGTCTTCTTGCAGTGGTTAGTGACACCAGAGAATCCCATAGCTATCAAGCATGACCTGACCATGACAAGTCACGACACTGAAAACTCTGGCAGAAAAATGAGGTGTCTGACCTCGTTGGACCCTGGAATCCCAGAAAACTCCTTGGCCAGGAGGTGGCAAAAGTATACAATATTTCCCAAGGCCGCTCAGCACCTCAGACACCAAAGTCCCAGCATCATGAATGTGAAATTGGCTCTATTGTCATTGCCACCCAAGATGCCCTATCTCCTGCCTTTGCTAGTTAAACACCATCTTGACTTTTGCCAAGTTTCTCCACAATCTCCACAATTCAAAGCTATGGTGTCAGCAATGACAAATTGGCAAAATCCCCCATTAAAGCTCTGGTGAGGGGGGAAGGGCAAAGAAAACATACAAGACCATTTTCACAGAACCAGAGGTCAAGGCTCCATTACACACAATCTAGTTGATCAAGTTATGATCCAACACAATTGAACATAGGACAAC